AATGTATATTCATAGAAATTAAAAAAAAGGTTATGATAAAAAAACATATCACGCTAGTAGTTAGTTTTAATCTCGTCAAAACCCATCGATGCGGTATTTCCCTTCGGCTCGCGAAACGCGAGGCGTCGAGGCGCGAGCACACCCGGAGGCCGGCGATTAGCTAGTTGGGCCTGCCCACTCGCTTATGTTACGTAAACACGGCAGCTTTTTTATTGTGCCCTGGTACTTTGCGCGCTAATGCGGATATGTTCATTATTTCGCGCTGTTATTCCTGTTACACCGTTAACGAGTTTAACCCGACTAGTTAGTTGGATACTGCAGTTTCAGTTGCTTCCGAGTTTGATATCCGTTAGAAGTGGTTAGATGAGATATCATGTCCATACCAATAGTAAGGTGTATTTCTTGTTTTCGATGCAAAGCAAATAGATGATGAATACAAATAACTAACTGAATTAAACCTACAAAGATGTACCTATTCATTCCATTCTGGAATCACTGTAAAATGAGATATGAAAATGAAAAATAACTTATAAAAAAATTAAGCGGATTTTAAATATCAGTACAATTTCAGTAAAGATAAAAAAGCGACCGCTCTTTTGAATTTTGCGTTGCGAATATTTTTGACAATATTTCAAGCGAGAATTAATTTAAACATAATTTTTATCAATTGCCATTTCGAGGGCCGACAAATGAGTACCCACTTGCCGATGCGAACGCGAAATTTTCAGGACCAAGCGGCGTTTTAAAGGATTATCACGTGCGTGAGCGAATGATATAACGTTTTTTTTATCAACGTACTTAAAATGAAACAGACATTCCATTTTCAGCAGATAACTTTTTCAGAGTTGGAAGAGACGCACAAAAGAGCGGGAAATGCAGAGCTTCCATGCGTGGCAAGCGAGCGACATGGCAACGTGGCGGGCAACTATAGCCCTTTTAAATTTTTACAGGCACACGTAATTTGATTACTACATTTTTATTTAACAAATTAGAAAAATATGTACACACACAGGAGGAATAGTTAGGATTTATACTATCTTTAGTTAATGTCCATTAACATAACTAATTGTACTGTGGTAGGTCCACACAACCGCTTAGGCTGTCGCACTAATGGGCAGGCGTTGCTGGGGAGTACTGAAGTAAAGTAAAAATATAGTGCCTGAATACGCATGTTTTTATAAAAAAAGTGTTTGTATATAAATGATACAGACTGCTAATCGCCTGTTAAAGTAAAATCATCATTTCAGTCTGTTTGGGTTCACAGCTGAACATAGGCTTCCCGCACAGACTGCTATAAAACACAATATATAAGAGATATTATTTACTCGACAACTTAAGTGCAGAAAATGCAGCAGAGAATGGACAACTAAGGACTTCGATGCGTAATCGAATAGCAATTCTAAAGACTTGTACACAGAGATTTTTTTAGGGCTGTAATTGTGAAGTACAAGCTCAAATTGGTGCCGGTCTTAAGCTAAGAGAAAGATGCATAGAAGTCTATCCAATCAGGGTAAAAAGTTCCGCAGCTTACTGACACACTAGCTCGTATATACAACACCGCGTCACAATAATTCAAATACGCGAACTGGAAAGGCAACACTTGCCATCGCAGATAATTACGCAGCCTGAGTGGCGTAATTGTGACCTCTAGGTCCGCAAAGCATCCGAGGTGCTAACTGCCTCGTAATAAGGCCTCGGGTTGTGGCGTGTGCTCGAATAGAGTGCCGTAATTGTCTAAGTCTAGACCTATCCCGACCTGCAGCTGGCGTAGTGAAACTGCATACTTGTTCTACGTTGCTTCCAGTGTTATCCTAATTTAGAGAATCGGACACAGAGTGAAAACAAAAGAATTAACTTAATAGAAACAGCTTTGGTAACTTAGCAGTTTGCATTTAGATTTTAGTCGGATTAAGTTTTTACTGAGTTGAATGAGGTTTTAGTAAACAGATGAAAGCGAAAGTAAATGTAATGCTTGTATAAGTTTAAACATACTCTAATATAATACTAAAAAAATTGACAATTCAATTAGTAGAACGTAAAAACCATTAAGATATAATTATAGGACAATCAGTAAACTAGACGTCTTTAAAAATGGTAACGGTAGCGAAATGTTTGTTAACAATTTTCTACTAAATATACAAACATTGCGTCGTGTTGGGAATTACTAGGGTCATATAAACGGTGTATGCATGGCCCATGCAAATGGGGCGTTCGACCCGATCAGCGGCCAAATTTATGAGAGCGCAAATTTGTGAATACCCTCATAGCCGGCTGGCTGTTAATGCGTGAATAGGCTCCCCAAAAATCCTGATCTATCCCAATAAATTGTCTAAACGCACTCTCCATAATCCTATTCGGCTTAGTGTTTTTTTAAATAAGGCTACTACAGTACTCATTTGTCATAATATCTCCCATCTCCCCAGCGTTTAGTTCTGGGTTTATTTTGTTAATGTAATGACTTATTTGTTATAATTTAATTAATTTAATGGCATTACACGTGGATTGGATATAACCGTAGATCTTGCAAGTTATTTTATAGTGTTGTTTAAATTTATTTAGGCATGGTAAATTAGAAATAGGTAGAAAACATGATCATGTTGAGAGACATTTATTTAACTATCGTAATAAAACGAAAGACTAATTAATTTTGTTCAAACGTTGCTCGTGTATATTAGTATTCGTGCTATTTTTGACAGGATTTACAGATTGAGGTCATGTTTTATATATTTGTTGTGTCCAAACAATGGTTCTTAGCAATGGCAGGGTATTGCCACGAACCTGGCGCTTGGAAAGTGCAGCATATTCCAGTTTTTTTTGCTCATTGCTGATGTATTTATTTTTCGAAGGAAAGTTGACTTCTAATTGATATACTAGCGACCCGCCCCGGATTCGCATGGGTGCAATGTATTATACATATAAACCTTCCTCTTAAATAGGGACAGACAGACTGCGGGACAACTTTGTTTTATACTATGTAGTGAAATTATATAAGGAACGGGGACTTGTCCGTATGTCAGGTACACCGTGGCTACCCAAAGCCTGCGGCGGCCACAGTGTTTGCTCCGCGGCCAACGACCCAGCCTCCCTGCCTTTATATCCGTTCAAATGGGCACTAATTATGTTTAATGCGTTTCACCTGTAATTAGAAGGTGTTAGATAATGTGGAACAGCGCTGAGCGGTTGCTGTTGTTTACGTAGCGGAGCACCTACGCGAGTACGCTTCTAATGCCAACGTCAAATAGCGCGAACAATGATTAAGGGAACGCGTAATGGTCGTGGCTACATGCAAGACGAAGACAATACTTACCTGTATCACGATTATAGTTTTCGAGGCAAGTTCTATAAGCTTCGATTAATTATATGGCGCAGTTGCTAAGCACCAGACTAGTGTTTTATAACAAAGATTACCTAGATATACGTCGTACTTGTACGTCGCGTCTCGATTGATTGTAAACGTTAAAGAGATACGCGACGTGTTAATAATAGCATTAAATACAGGACAGAGTTGTAGGTATGGGGCGAGGCGTCAATTGGGCAGTTATAATGAAAAATAAGAACTTAAAAAGGATGATTGAAAATTAGGCAGTTAAGTGTTTCATGAGAATTTATTAAATAAATGGTTAAATGACTATATAACATACATACTTTATTTTTTGTCATTTAGTGTCATAATATTGTTAAATGTTGCACAAGCACAGATTTTAGAGTTGTTTATATCGTTCAGAATGTGTACTCTACAACTAGCCTCTGTTTCTCGACTTTGCGAAATATTTCTGGGTTCTTTTACTTTAAATGAATTGTAGATAGGCAATTAAAACGTGTACAAGCAATACAAGTAACAATTAACCATAAAATGCGGGAATATTAAAAACGTCTTATTCATTTATACGAGTCGATTCCGAGGACTAATAGAATTTCAATAGGGAGCTTTTTATTGCGTACAGCGTTCGCTTAATCCACGTTTGGTGGACGGCAATGCGCGTACATTCCCTCCACTAGAGTTTAGCGCATAAATATTCAACGTTCCTGAAATCCGCGAGTTTGCGAGCGAGCTATGCGCGGAATTGCGTGCGCGCATCAGCGTCGCATGAAACGCGCGCGAATTGATATCGAAAAATGAGCCTCGGGAATTAATAAAGGCGCCCTGGAACTGGTCCCGGCGACATACGCCCGTAACAATGAATTTAAAATGCACGCATGCGGCCCTCCGGGGCACCACCGGAATATCTCCGGTCAGTAAGGGCCCGCTCTTGTCGGCCTTTTTGCGGGGACACACACCGTCGCGGACTTTTAACTTTAACAGTTTAAGTTTTTATCGGACATTCGGTATCCATATATGATTGTTACGGCGAATCACCTGTTAAACGGCCGTCCGGATTGTCCCACAATTAATGTAACAGGATTTTTATTCAAATTTTCCGGTCGCCTATGGTTGAACGCTCGAGCGGAGTTAGCATAATAATTACCGACGAGTAACTGAGTATCGTGGATAACTTTTCGTTTCGAATGCTTGTGTAAATGTAATACGGGAATGCTATGGAGGTAACTTGTGGTATGTTGTTATTATTTGTGACAACGATACCTTGGGAAATATGTTGAAATCCATTTTTTTCTGTGGAATAATGGAAGCAATTTACTAAAACAAATTGAAAATTATTTAATAACGACAACCTGACGACGACACTACACGGAAGCCTTCCGTTTCACAGATCATCGTTCAACTATCAATTGAAGCGATATTGTCGCGCGGTTAAACACCAATCATCGTACAAGTTAACTAATAAGCTGTCAAATGGCTTTTCAAATGTTAATTGAGTTGCCAAAATGATAGTTATACTCTCTGAATTGACCTTCTGAAAGATCAAAATGATCAATTCTACGATGATCAATCAGTCTTTCAGAAACCGGGCGTGATAGCAACGATAACGATACTGCCGGTACGAGACTGGGCTTCCGTTTCGTTGTTCTGTCGGGTTTAGTTCGATTTTTAATCTGTGCTAGCTGCCACGGCGCGGGCGGGAAGACGCGCCGCGGGGAAACGCGAGGCGCTCGTAAATAAGCCGTGAGTCAGGCGGGGTCGGTCGCTCGTTCGGGCTATTTCCGAGCTGCGAGAAAGTGCAGCGGTGCAGACGGACGCTAAGGGCCCAGCGCACACTATCGACGGTCGCAGAGAGACATGAAAACGACGATGGTAAAATATCGAATGTCCTACCTATCGCTACTACAATTTCGAAATGGCTGAAAAGGAACGATCTCCATAATTTGCAGGGTTTCGTCGTCGACCGATTGAAATGAACGATACCAAATGTACCCACCCGCGACTGTCAGACTCTTTGTTTAGTTAATTAATAATAAGTTCAAGCTTTATTAACAATTTTTTATTTAAATCAGATGAAGTGGTAGGAGCAATTTATGATACGAACGATGAGATGTGAAATAATCCCGCAATATAATTCTTTTGAGACGGCTGATCTAAATTTACGATCTAATGTATATTATGGCTTACAACGAAACCACTAACTTGAAACGAGCACACTTTCATTCCCTTAAGAATGCTAAAAAAATTTATCAAAACAATTTAAAAGCACAACTGAATGTTTTTAGTAATACTTATCTATTTACTCGGGTCCAAAACTGTTCTAACATTTTACCAAGTTGTGATAGCCAACTTGACATTATGACAACCGGTTTTACTTGGATCTTTGTACAATCGGGTGATCTCCTACTTTGTTTTAACATTTTTTATAATGTAATAATATGACAATGCATACAATCAGTACAAATAATCAATCAGCTATTAGTACAAGGCTTAGGTTTATTCGATAAACATGTATCTAATCGGAAATATTTAGGTACACAATGATACATGTTAGAATATTAACAAACAATCATACAAGATTAGGAGTTGAAACATTGAACTGTACATTAATCAAATTAAATACAAGTACCTTTTCGACTGGTTTAATCGACTTTACCTAAGTTTGTTTTCTCGACAGTTCAGAGCGTTTTTTATAAGGGGAAGGCTTGAAATATTTAAAGCCACAATGTCATGTTGCTCCGAGGAATCGTCAGCTCCAACATTTCGGGACCAAGTTTAAAGCAATAAGGTACGGCACCGCAAAACAAAGTCTGTCATGCGACTACGTCCTAAATAAGTAAAGAGTAAGTTTAAGTTGCCGGCATCAGGTGGTGGGTACGATGCACCTTACAGTTCACTGTTCAATTCCAAAAGTTTCAAAACGATTTCAAGTCCTCGTGAAATAACGCTTCGCAATTCGGTTAAATTACTTTGTTGACATCTTTTACAACACTCGAGCATATAATTATGTCCCATTATGTCCCTTAGTACTTTTTTATGTGTTTATAGAAAGGACTTCATTCAGGGAACAGATACGAATTTTCGAATCTGTTTCCTTCAATTGCTTAATTTTAAGCTCATTAGATTTGGTATTTAATTCGTGTTGCATTTGTCATTTATTGCGACATCAGAAGATCATAGTGATGATGAAGTATATCATTCAAAAATGACGTTTAATAAAGTATTAATTTAAAAAAATCCCAAAGATCTTGCAAGTTTATAAGCTCGGTTTATTAGGGCGACTTTAACATTCAAAGACTGCTAGTTTACCAAGAATATTTCAATTTACATATTAAGGCAACCCCATCAATGAAGTATTAATCTTGTTTCTATAAATTTCAACATAACATTAACCAGTAACGAAAATATTGTAGACAACATTTGATCTTTTAATGCAACTTTAAAAATAGTTATCGCCCCACCCGCTTGATGAGTTCTACGGAATAAATAAAGAAAAAAAAAACAAAGATGCAACATAAAAAAATGCATTAAAAAAAATCAGCGACAGGTTCTTTTGTTGCCATTTCTAAAGTTTCAAGATTTTCACCGGTAATTTTTGTACCGGAGCAGAGCACTAGTAAGTCTAGAGGGAGTTCAGTTCTCGCCTTGCGCGCTTTGCGTTTCCGGTAAGTTTTGCCGCGAAGAAAATTTAAAATTTTCTTTCAAATGGCTAACGAGACGATTACTATAATGCTATGCCCGGTCGTTATTACGAAGTGGCTCTATGAAGGATGGACCGTTTTATTTTAACTAACAGCGGCGACAGATTCGTAATTGGAACAATTTTTAAAATAGCGCAAATCCGGCTAATAAATCGTTATAATTGGCTTTGGATGGGAACTAATTCAACAGATTAAAAATAAATCTCTTTTCTACCTAGATAGAAACATTTTTTTGTGTAATTTTCTTTATATTTATATATTTTGATTTATCTACCACCTACCACGATTTCTCTCCTCCGGCCTCTTGTAGCCTTGTAGATAATGCTAATAGGCTCTTTGTAATCCCTTGTTATGGTGTTTGTAAAAAAGGAGGAATAATTAAATAAAATAAATAGATTTCATTAATTTTGGTATATTTCACTCAGTTAAATACGAATGCTGTCATATATTTATTATCATTTATATTCCATAACTAAAATAACTTGTTAAGTTAGTACTTAATACGTTATTTATATATTATTATAAAACTGTTGATAGCCTAGTGGTTATCACACATCAAAATCATTTAAAAAATATGTAAGATGCATTATACATATAACTTTTGCCGTTACAGTACAATGTTTTAATGAGCCATATTCATGAATAAATTTTAATTGTTTTAGGTGAATAACCATGTTTCGAAACGGGTTCATTGTTATATTTGATCGGTATATTATGTCATTTTATTTAAACAAACCAGTGAAGATGGTTCGTTTTTGAATAATTTTCATTTCGGTTTAAATGTCGACGTATTTAACAATAACATAAATTAAAATAATTTGTTATAATTACCATCAATATTTATTTTTATGTATATCTATTATTAACAAATTAAAATAGTCTGTACTATTATTAATGTTTGGCTGGCAAAACAATTTGTTTCATAAACATCTAAAACGTAACATTGCCGTGACATTAGGATTGCTATTAATGCATTCTGCAGGCAATTTTTAACGTCACTATCTCATCAAGTGATAGTTATCACCTCACAACAAATCCTACAGCGTTATCACGTAAATACGTCGATAACTCACCGCTTTGGCGAGCAGACGAGGGACCGGAGCACAACACAAACCACTCACAAAACAATCTCACAGTCTCCTAAAACACCTAATTGAATCCATGTTATCATTTAAAGGTATCGATTAGAGTCAGTCACACGCGGTGGAACGGTTCTCTCTGCGACGCGTATATTTTTACATTCGACTGGGACGATTTCTTCAATGCTCCGTTTAATCTTCACACAAACCGACGCCGCAGTTACACCGTCCTTCTCTTTGTACAATGTTTCCTTTAAACGTGTCCGTACATATCACTGGATCAGCTGTGCGTATTGTTTGTAACAATGCTAACGAATACGTAAACACAACTTCGACACGAACAAACGGCACGACGCGCGACGAAAGACTGACGGGCTGGACCGACCGAGACGAGTGAATGAACGGGGAGCGCGCTTCGCTTCGTTCTGCGGGCTGAGGCGAGTGCGGGGGGATGGGATAAGCTTGAGGCACGTTCGCCCTGCTAATAGATGGCGTTAGGAGTACTTTTCTCACATATCTTACTATGATTTCGAAGAAACTTTCTTGAGAAAAAGCAATCATTTTAGGATGTAAAATGTATAATTGCTATGGATATTGTATTCACACATTAATATCATTTTGAACGTTATGTTAAGAATGTAAATAATTCTGCGTACCGGTAATATGCCGAGAGGGGAACGCTCTAAAGGATTTTCTGAATAATTACACTTATCAACAGCAGCCGCTTTTCAGATTAGGTAAACGTTTCAAATTATCCTCGCGGAGCGTTTACTCTACGTTTTATTGAATTTCTCGCCTTCGTTCGGTACGAAATCAATTTGCGAAAATCTTGTTACAAATTTACACAGGACGCAAATTAGTGTGTACATTGCATTACGCCAAGGATGGCTAGAATCGATTTTTATAACGAGCGTTGGAGTGTTGAACAAATGTAAAAATCCCATTACATTCTCGAATTGGTCTCCAAATCAGAACTGAAAATCGATTAAAGTTTGGGGAGGGCCAGACGCTATCTCGGGGGTCGATCGGTGGTCGAAAGTCATTTTCTAACCCTCCCTTCTAGGGGAAATAAAGAGAAAGTTCAAAGAATGTCATAGAAACCTTCAAATATAAATGGCGTTGTTATGTCTACTTCATGAAACACTTAAACGCAATTATTCCCGATTTTGCCTTTATTCTCTATTGTGTTAGCTTGAAATTTTTATTCTTACCACATGTAAGTTTTCGATTACAATGAAATTGTTTTAGAAGGCACCTTGAATGTTTTAATTAGTAAATAAATTTTGTTTGTAATAATGGTTGGTCATATCTCTCTCTATTATCTATATATACAAGAATTGCTGGAATATATATATATATATATATATATATATATTCCGAATCTCGCAAACGGCTCCAGCGATTTTCATTAAATTTTGTATGTGCGTAGATTCGGGGGCGAAAAATCGATCTAACTCCAGTGGCAGCCTCGTACTGGTCATCGCAGTGTGGGACGACCCCCCACTAGATGGAGTGACGACCTGTTCAAATGTGCGGGAAGTCGATGGATGCAGGTGGCTCAGGATCGTACTTCGTGGCGGTCTATGGGGGAGGCCTATGTTCAGCAGTGGACTCAAACAGGCTGAAATGATGATGATGATGATGATCATAGTTAATTTCGCCACAAAAAAATGTTATAATAGCTCGGTTGGTAATCGGGCGGCCCCAAAACAGACGGCCGCAGTTCGTATCACGATTATTTACACGCTTATTTTTTTTTACTTTTTTTTCTATACCAGATCATTTTCTTAATTTTTTATTTTTTTATTTCTAAAATACATGATTTACCAAAAAAAACCGGTCGTCCAGGTACTAAATCTTAAACTGTTGTACTTTACAAGTTTTGTTGAAAATTTTCTCTTGTGTGAGGTTAATTAGAGTAAGTGTTAAGAGGTTGGACTTGACAATTAGTGATCTACTTCCCACCGAACATAGGTTTAAGCCCCGCACAATGTTAGTATTAGCATAACCTATCGATATTTTTGTATGGGTGTATATAATGGTATTTCTACCTCACCATACTTGCCTTTACTGTATGCAATGTGGAGTTCATGTTTCAAAGTACAGTAGAATATAAAGTAATTAAATTAAAATTTCTTTCTATTTGCTTATGTCCATTAGTAAAGGATGAAAATGCATTTAGATTACGAATAATGATGTAATAAATATGATCCTTTAACCGTTATTTAAATATAAGTGCGACGTCTCCCGTGCACTATGACAGATGATAGAGGCAAAGACAATAGAGTGGCGATACGGACAGATAAGCCTGATTTATTGTGTACCCGAGAACGCCTTAATCAATTTACTGTGACGCCCGTTGTAAGTTGGATGTTTATTTGATGTCCATGGACTTCGGGCTTATATAGTTACGTCAAATACAAGATGGCACATAAAACACATAAGTCTCATAAAATATCCTTAAAGTAAACAGAGACAGTTACATTCTAAATTGACTTTCGGATTCCATTAATATTTATTTAGAAAACCCAATTTGTTTAGGAATTATCATCATCCTCCTGCTCTTATCATATTATAAGTGGTTTTGTCTAGGTTTTTTTACCACCGGCCGCGTGCCTCACGTCAAACGTCCTTGAGAAAAAACACCTAGATCTAGAGTAATTATCTGTGGGTCACTCAGATAATTGTCCTGTGTGGGAATCGAACCCACGACCACCGGCGCCGAAATCAACAGCTAAATAAAAAAATAACATTAATTCAATCGACTGATGGACCCATGGAACAAAAAGAAACACAGACACAGATAAAAAATAAAGCTTTTAAAAATATAAAGCTGCGTCTAAGTTTTCGCTTGTTACTCACTCGATGTACTAGGCGTGCATAACTGCCGTGCAATTGAACGGCGTCTCGGAACCAGAAGGCGGACGCGACCCACGCGCCACCTCGCATAACTTGACCAGGCTATTTCCATTCGACGTAGGTGTAAGACATGTCGGGGCTGATAGGGCCCATTGTTCAAACTGGCCCTCCATTAGCGCGGGGGTGTAGCCTCGCGGCCGCGGGTACCAGGAGATAATGAATGGTGCAGCCTTCCCGCCCGGCACAGATGACAAATTGTTCGCGGGCTCTGTTGCCTCTTATCTTTATTTATTTATGATCAAGCCGTTCACTGGCCGAGTGATCCCCGATCTTGAAGAAATGAAATTAAAAAGGCCAAATACATGACTTTGTTTTCAAGTTTATACCAAATTCAGACAACACAGATGTTCAAATCAATAATTATTAATGTTTTTTATTGATCTATACAAGAAAGATGTCACAGACTACGCCTTATTAATATTTTAGCTTTTCATTTAGTTTAAAAAAAATATGAATTTAGCTCAATAAGTTATTTAGCGCAGACCGTTTTATCTCATAAACTATCAATGTAAACGATTGTATTGAAACGAATACATATAATTAAATAAAAGATACCATTTAGAACTAGTACTATATTTTAATTCAGCCAAATTTACTTTATGTGTTCAAGGTAACAATTTTTCGCAGGTAAGAATTTTACGTCAGTTTATATTCTAAAACTGTTACTAAAGAAGGCAACAAAACGAACGGGAGAACTCTTGACATGGATTTTTAAAATGCTTTAACTTAAAATTGTGTTATAAAGGAAAACGGAGTCTTTAAGTTAAAATAAGTTAACATGTTTAAAATATTTCACTACGACAAGATTGTTTTGTAAAGAATTTAATTAAATATGAATGATGTTAATTATAAACTGAATTAAGAAATTTTTATCGGCTTTTTAGGTTTTTGTCATATGGCATTCGTAATAAAAAGAAAGAATAACATTATTTTCTTCCATAATGTTAACAATTAACTACTTAAATTAACGTATAAAATTGCATACCTACTTAAAAACTTTAAAAAACTATAATAAGTATTATAAGATGCCATTTGCGGCCCTTAAGTACTTTAAGTAAGCTAACCTAACTGTTTATCGTAAGACTGATTATATACCACTATACTAAATAATATTACAAGTTATTAGTTGACACTTGCATTTACTTATTTCCACACTTAATTCATATGATCTCTGATCACGATACTGTGGGAAAAATAAAACAAAACTGTTTGAAGTATCGAAACTTCTATAATTTTCATCCATTCAGGTAAAATTTTATAGAAATTCATGACACCAAATGAATTCATTCATCTTATCCGGTAGCAAAGGACCAATTTGCAACAATACGCCACAGTTTAATCATCTTGCAAAAATAAGCGGACAGTGTCATTAGAATGGTAGTTACATTTTACGATTCACATTAAAGCATACTGGAAATTCAGTCTACAGTAATTGCAAGTCGTGAAAATGGCATTTAAACTCCTGGAAAACAACAGCGTCCGAGCTGCGAATATTGCACGTCTCATAATTTCAAAAAGGTTATTAACTAAACGTTTAATTGAAAGTTGAAAGTTGCTTAAATTTTTATCCGTGAGATGATATGATTTCTTCGATTTAATCGGAAGCTATCATGTAAATAAAACTATGTTACTAACAAATTGAACGCGTAATAATGGCAAAACAGTTTTATTTACCTCATGATGATGTTTATTTAGCATGATGGCTTTAACTAACCTTTAAAATGTCATGCCTAGAAGTTAAGGAAAAAACGTCTTAGTGTTGGTTGACCTGAGTTCAGTGGTTAATGTGGGTTGTGACGATAATGATGATGAACTCACACAATGATTTTTTTATTGTAAATATTCCACTGTGGAATAACATTATTAAATGTTACGAACCAATATGTATAATTTTTTATGTAAAATTTGACGATTCATAAGAACGAGCAAGCGTCTTTTTGAATAAAGATTTTTGATTGATTGATTGAATATGTAGTAAAAGCGTTTTACAAACAAAAATTATTGATTAGTAATATAATTATCCGTAGGGGAGTTGCCAAAGTATTGGCTACGGAGCCGTGGTTCGTGGGTTCGATTCCCACGCGAGACAAGTATTTGTGTGATCCACAGATACTTGCTTCGGATCCAGGTGCTTGCCCACATGAAAAATAATATAATATGTACTTTAAATTTTGTTTTTAATTACCAAACTTGGAACTCTTTCGTCGTCCGTCTTTATTTTGGTCTAATTGCATAGATTAGATTGCATTACATTCAAAGATAGACTTGGTGAAAATGTTGCTGTGGCTTTTGCACCCTTTTGGATTCCCTTTTGGATTTGGATTCGTTCCGGATCTAGGTATTTGTTTCCAACAATCTAATCAATACTACTGAAAAAAACGACTCGCATGATTTACAAACACCACCTAAGTGGGATAAGGGAAGGAGGATGTTGCAGTTTTAGTGTGCTTGACAAACTAAACACGGACAAACACCGTAATCCTGAACAATTATTGGCGAGTCAGGAAAAAAATTGTCACGAATGGGAACGCTCTGTATATAGGTACCTTAAAAACTGCGTCACCTAATTTATTTAAGGATTTATTTCTTCAAACTGTTAAATTAGTTTTTCGAGAGGAAAGTATGAGGTTCTTAATTTAACT